AAACTATCTTGAAAAGGAAAATACAAGAACCTTAATCATTATGGTTATATGAAATATTTTCCTACAAAAGATGATAAATCTTTCAAACGCAGTAATTATGTATTAAGCAAAACCTACATAACTGTCTGATATTCAAAAGTGCACTAAACGAAGAACATCACTCTTGCGAAAATGTTTTAAAAATTCCTTGTTCACACACACACATATTCAACCCCCTTCTATGTGTATTTCCGCTAACTTCAAAACGGAGTAAGTCTAGGTAGACTTACTCCTAAAGTAAAATGATCCCTCCTCATATATATATATATATATGTGTGTGTGTGTGTGTGTGTGTATATTATAGAAAGTAGGTATACTTATAAATATATTGACTATGTGAACTAATTTAAATATATATAGAGATATTGTGTTGTTTTTTTTTTTTTTTACTTTTTATAATAATATGTAGATAAATTTGAAAGAAAATCTATTCATTATCTCAAATTTGTTGTAAAGATTCTCGTATCTTTATAAGTAACTAGAGAATTTAATGACTTGTAACTAAACTAAAATTTAGTTAAAAAAATGCAGTAAAAATCTAACAAACAAAATAAATACACTGACGCCTATAAATAGGTCTTACATAATCTGAATGAATCAAATGGAGAAGTGGGAGATTTACTAGGACTTGAGAGTGAAAAAAAAATGAGAACAGATTTACTTCTCGGAAGCAAAGCAAAACAAGAGAAGAAACAAAGATTTTGAGTGATACTATTTCAAATATTAATGTATAGGGGAGGAGACTTTTATCTCTTTTAAACTTCTACATTATTTTAATTGTCTATTTTATATTATTCTTATCTATATTTATTTGGTGAGGTGTCCCTAGCCTCATCTTACTTGTGCAATGTATATTAATTTTAATTAATTAATGAGGTTTCTATAATTTATTTTATTTAATTATTTTTTTTATTAATCTTAACTATCATTTATATATATAATTTAAATATATTTTTAAACTTATTATTTAGTTGCTATTATTTAATTGATTATATATATTGTATACATAAATATTTATAACTTTAAATAGTAGTAAATGTAAATTTTATTTTTTAATAAATTATTAATTGATTTGAATTAATTTGTGGTTAGAGATTTAACCTTGAAAATTTAAATGAGTAAATATTCTAGGTGAAATATTCTTGTATTATTTGGTACCATGATTCAGCTCATTTTTTCCTAACGAGCCACTACAAAAATAATTCAAATCCCACCATGGAGTAAAAAATTAAATTTGTGATTAATATTGATATGTAAATATTTATATATATTCTTAATCAATTAATCTTATTATTTGATAAATGTTCTCACTCATTTCTTTTGTATTTCTTGTTTTTTTTGTTCTTAATATATGTATGTATATTTTAAAATCTTAAAGAGATGGATCTACCAGTTATACCTAGACCTTTTACTACGGTTACTTCGACTGTATTTTCCAATACTAGTTGGACTATAGATGTTATTGGAAATTCAGTGACGTTCAAAGGCATCAGGTTATCTTCTTTTGTATTTTCACCAAATCAACAAGTTTCGATATATATTGATGATCCCATGGTGGTCACACACTACCTACCCCCTTCTAACCTTGTTAATCCTATAGTAAATCTATATCAACCAGGGATGTGAATTTGCTAGTATAATAAGAAGGAAAAATCTGTATTAAAATAATACTTTTTCATTCATCTAGATGTCATGTCACGTTCAAAATGTCCAACCATCAATGTGAGAGGGGTGTGTTGGAAGTCCTACATCAACTACTTTTAAGATCATAATAGTATATATAAGTGGGAAGCAATCCCCAACTTATAAGCCATTTTTATAAGATTGAGTTAGACTTCAAATTGCTTTCTTAATTAGTGAAATGACCAATGTAGTATATATATATGTGAGGAGCAATCCTTACCTTTCAAGCTCGTTTTGTAAGATTGAGTTAGATCTATAATTAATTCAGTTTCTTAACATGGTATTATAGCATATGCACATGCACACACACACACACACGTTAGAGTTCATCTTAGTGATTATTATATTTTGTTGGACTTGTTGTATTACCTATTATCAGGTCATTATCAGACCATTCCTAAAACTCCAAACCTACAAACTTCTCACTTAGGATGTCCAAACCTCGACATGTGGAAATGTGTTAAAGATCTCTAATTAACTAGTAAAATGACTAATATAGTATATATAAGTAGAGATCAATCTTCACCTTAAAAATCATTTTTATAAAATTGAGTTAGGTCCATAATCTACTTTCTTAAGAGTATTATTACATTGATTTGTTTGAATTTTAAAAAATTATTTAATTTTAATAAAACAACAATAAAATTTTATCAAAATAAAAAACCTTTTATATAAAGTTATAGCTGGAACTTAAGGTTATTATTATGTGCATTTCAATTCATGTCCAAGCACTGAATTTAGTTTTTTAGAATCTAAAATAATAAGTATATAAGAGCATCTCTAATGTGAGTTGCTTATGTTGTATCTTACCTTTAAGAATTAATGCTTATTAGCAATTATATGGCACACTGAGTTTTTTTGAAAATAAGCAACTCCCTTAAATAATTAAGGGGCTATGCTTATGAATAAAAAATAATTTTTTTGTTCAAAATCTACCAACGAACATCACAAACAACCAATGAGAGAAAATGATATTATCAAAGAATAAGGAGAAGAATCATATGCCTAAACAAAAGAAAAAATCAAAACTTGAATAGAAAAGATCAAAACTTTAAACTTCAATAGATGCAATAATCTCGAAATACACCATAAACTAGTAACATAACAACAATATAAGATCGGGGGAAAAATTGAAACTTGAAATGGAACCCAAAACAAGATCAAGGAAAATAAAATTGAAACTTGAAATCAAGAAAGTAAAAATTTGAGATAAAACTCATGAAAGCCAATCAACAAATGGAACCAAATTTGCACCAGAAAGAAGGAACATCGAACCCCACCAAAGAAAGATACTTGATCTACGAGTCGATCCAAATACAATTTAATATACTTCTCAGCCAATTGATCTGTGCGTTCTGAGGCTTTTTCTTGAATCCCTTATGGACTCTACCAATGCAAGTGACAATAGTTTGTGAAAAAAGTTATAAAAATAAGGTTTGAATTTTGGATTGTAAGAAAAACAAAACATTAATGTATAACTTATAATAACGAAAACTACTTATTGTAGTCATTGCTATCAAGCAACTAAATATGTAAAAATATTTAGATATTAGAAAAATAGATAGAACTCTTCTAGTCTTTATTTTTTCTTAAGCTTATTAATATTTCTAATTATTTTTATTTTAATATTTTAATATTTAGTATTTTAAACCATTTAACTGTTGATAAACTTTAGTATGAAAATATTTTTTTTCTAATTTTATGCATTTTATTTTTTAAAAATACATTTTTTTGAATCATTATTTAGACCGCAAATTGGTCCGTTTATCCGCAGATTTTAGCGGACCGGTTATGGGCTTAAAAAATAAGTTCATTAATTTTATAGGTTAGACTTATCCGATCCGTATAAAATGCATGTTTTATGGGTCATGCCTTAAATAAACATGTCTAATTCTTTTACTGATTCATTAATTGATTCATTATTAACATAATTTTGCATATAAATTATTAGTAAAAAATTTCACTCCATATCCAATCTTTGTTGTGTTCCATCTGCCTATGGATTCTAATCAATATAATTTTCAAAATTATATGAATTATTTGTAAAATTAGCCACCACCTCCACCCAGGGACGGATCCACTTGTTGGAGAGTGGGGCCACTTGCCCATACATAAATTTTTATTTTAAAAAATAATATATTTAAAAAAATAAAAATTATATTCTAATAAAATAAATATATATGTTTAAATTATATTAAAAAAATCAATATAAGAAAAATCAGAAGATTTATGTTTCATTTAGAATTGTTATTATAAAATACTAAAGAGGCTGTGACACTTCGTGTCTCTAACAGTTACACGGACGGTTACAATTTTTTTATATTTATATTTTCTCCATTTTATCTATAAGGAGTTATTGCATAATCGAAGGACAAAAAAATCTTAAAAAAATGGAGACGAAAGTGGTTATTTAAAAATATATTCCCTTTATTAATAGTTATAGATATTTTAAAATAAATTATTATCTAAAAATATATATTAGATATTATAAAAAAAATTTATATCATAAATAAATGAAACTTGATTTTTATAAAATTTAACATATTTATTTTTATATTTTTAATAGTATTAAATTATTATAAAGTAAGTTTTTAGGATTGTACCCAAACATTTAAAAAAAGTTAGGATATATATTTTTAAAGAAAGTTAGGTTCAAACTTCCTAAATTATAATAAAATCTAATCTGACCTAATTTATTTTCATCTTTAATTGTAATCCTAGATATAAAAACTTGTAAAAAATAATTATGATATATATGTATGTCTATAAAAGATACATAAAATTTTTAATACTACAAATATATAAATAAATATTACTCTCACTATTCAAAATTTCTAGATGCGTCACTGCCTCCACCTACTAATGGTGAAAATCCTTACTGCTGCTTGAAAAAGATAATTTTATCGAAGTGATCATAATGTAGCAAAGTTGGGACTAAGGTCCTACATTTGTCCCCAAAAAAAATATCGGATATATTCTCCGATCATGTATCTATAAAATCTATTACTTGGGGTTACATATATTTAGAAACATTGTGAAAAAAAAAAAAATGTTGATTATGAATGATATGGACTCAATAAGACAACAAAATAAAGCACCCAATAAAGCAAATTGAAAAAAAAAAAGTTTAACGGCTTAAATTGTCCCAACTTAATTGGTCTTATAGAAAAAGAGGAGGGAAAAAAAAAACAAATGAACTAACATTCGAAGTGGTCACATGACATTAAATTATGATCATGTATAATTTTATGACTTAGATTTACTCTTCTTAGCCTAACATAGTAAAATCAAAGACCATCTCTCTATATATAATATTTGTTTTGTGTGGCGATTTGTGAACTCAAGTACATACTGAACATTTTATTCTTACTACAAGAGTCATACACGTTAAACATGAAACAAAAAGGTCCAAAATAGAACACCCACATCCTTAGCAAACAACACACAAGCTAGAAGGACCCCATGCACAACTAAAAATCAAGTACGAAAATTCAACTTAAAACTGATCAACGAATTGCACAACCTCTTCCACCGCAGACATCAACAAAGATTTCTTGCTACTGTTAACCACATTGCACTTTCCCCGAATTTCACCTTGACTTCCAGTGAGCACATCCAACTGACTCAGCCTCACAACAGCATCCACAAATTTCTCGAAGAACAGTGTCTGGTTGAGCGCAAAGGCGTTGACCAACCCCTTTGTCCTCTTATCAGTGAGCAAGTCCTGGTCGGAGGTGAAGACGCCCTGGCGGTTCATGAGGTCAAGGTAGTATTTGTTGTCGAAGACTTTGGGGGTTCTGATGTCCAAGTTGGCGGTGTTGCCGGAGTTTGCGTCTGGACACGTGGCTTGGAGCTGTTTGGCTAGGGTTTTGTCCATGTTGGGATCGAGGGGAGAGAGCCTGTTGAAGAAGGTGCGACAGTGGGCACGGCCAAACGTGTGTGCCCCGGATAAGGCAACCACGTCGGTGACATCGAAGCTTTGGGCTGCGAAAGCGTCGAGGGTGGCGCTGGTAGTGTTCAGCGGTGATGGCAGATTTTTTGTTCCTGATGTGCTGAAGCTTATGCCATCTCGTCTTCCTAGTGGAACTGCATAATTGGGGCCTCCACTCTATTCAAAGTGCAACCAAATTATCTTTAAGTTACTAAATCGAGAACCGAGTAATTAGAGAAGTGATTTTAAGAATTTTTTTTTATCATTATTAGAAATTTTAAATTATATTTCGAATTTGTATCTAAACAAACTTAAATTATTAAGTAATGTCAAATGATATAATGTAAATTTTCACGAGTTTGTTTAAATATAAATTATTATAAGTATTTTTTAAAATTTTTCTACTGAAAATTATTTTTTAATTTTAGTAAATAAATTTTTAAATGTATTTTTAATTATTTTATATCTAGATTGACTACATGTTATGTATGAATTATATTAGACTATTAGGGTTCGCTTAATAGTAAAGGTTGTATTAACATGCATATGATTTAGATTTGAACTATCAAATGTTATGGTAATTATGAAAGAAAAAAAAGACTCCATTTTTTATTTATTTAAGATTTTTAATTTATAAGAGAATTAATAAATCAATTACTTGTCGCGTAAAATACATGTTAACAAATTATGCATATATTAAAACAATAAAAAAGAATAATTCTCTTATTAAGGATCGAGATTATTTATTTTATTTTACTCACTTTGAATTCATTGTCATAAAACAAATTTCAAAATTAAAACAAAAATCGGAAGACAATAATGAAATAGAAGACACCGTCAAATTGGACCAAAGAATAAGATGAACTTTTCCCCAGCATTCATATTTTTTCAGAATAAAAAACAAAAACATTCGTATTTGTTTAATAGAATAATATGTGTGTGTGTTTTACATTGAAACAGAAAGGTACTCACAATATTAGCGGATAAGACGCCAATTACATATTAATAGAATGATATGTATAATGATCGCTTGTTCACTTCTTATTGTTGTTTTTCTTGTATAATTTATTTTAAATGAAATAATTGATATTTTAAAAAAGAAAAACTTCTCAAAGAATTAATACATTTTTTTTTTACAAAACAAAGCTCTCTTTTAATTTTACGATTAAGTGATAATATAAAATATGTTGAAAGGAAGTGCCTTAATGGAAGAAAAAAAAAAAAACTAGATTGTGCATCTGCCAAAATTGTTATACAAATCTTTACTACGAATTCCTAAATAAAGACCTAGGTCATAAGGCAACTATGAAATATCTTATGATTTTAAAGCTTACTCTAAGGTGTCACTCCTTAGTGGAAGGCTTTTAATTAAGATGCTTTCGTTTATTTTATTTATTTTATGATTTATATACAGATAGATTAGCACTAACGTCTCGAATGTCGATGATAACAATCCATCATTATCTCCATTTCTTAAAGTCGTGTTTGGATTATTTATACAGAATTACTTCTAAATAAAGTGTAAATGGGACCTATTAAACAATGTAAAAACACTTTTAGTGTAAAATAATATATTACTTTATTGTTAAAGCTGAAAAGGGGGAAATTTCTTTACACCAAGTGTGGACGAGTGTAAAAGAAAAAGAACATAGAGAAGAGGTATTTTATATATATATATATATATATATATATATATAAGCATGA